AGGGCAGCACTCAAGTTCCATTAACCGGGGACAGGAGGCAGGTGGCTCTGGGGACAGGAGGTCGGGCGCGGGGCGGCGTTTGGAGCCTGTGCACACCAAGGAGGAAGAGAAAGCCTGCTTCAGACGGACCCAGGAAAACACAAACACCACCTGGAGGAAAGACGATCTTAAAGATGAGGAATAAACAAACACAACCTGGGTTCAGTCCAGAAGTTTTGAAACAAACAAGGAAGCGACTGTTGAGTCCAAAAATAAAGCCAAAGCAAAGCAAAGCAAAACAAAACAAAACCCATACACAAAAAACAAAGGAGGAAGAAAAATCAATGGAAACAATATAAATTACAAGCCCATCGTAGACAGTTACTGAGATCAGCTACTGTGGAAGCAAGACACACCAGGGTGAAAAGATTGCTGGGTGGTGCCGGCTGGCCGGAGGGTCGCCAAAGAGAATACAGGTGAGCTGGGAGCTGCACCTTCACACGCACGTTTGTGTAGCAGGCCTGAAGACCAGAGGGGAGAAGGGCACCAGTTGTGAACTTGGGGCGTGGGGCTCAGATCAGGGAACCTGGACCAGCTTGCCCCACCCCCTTTACAGATGGAGAAGCTGAGGCCAGAGAGGGGCAGCGACCTCTGAAGAAGCCCAGGAAGTCGCCATTCCTCTGACCCATGCTCACTGAGCCCTACTGTGTGCCAGGTCCTGACATGTGCAGGGTCAGAGCTGGACAAGGGGCCTGCACGAAGCTCCCTGTGGGCCCGGATAATCGAATCATTGCAGGAACGCATGTTTCATGAGGGCCTGCGGTCAGCACCAGGAGGGACGGCCAGCTTTGGCCCTGAGAGCGCCTAGCAGAGAATCCCCCCTGGTCCACAGGGTCCACAAGGCCTCCTGGGAGAGGGCGTGGAGTTGAGGTCTGGAAGGGGAGCCAGGGGAGCGCTGGAAGGCTGGGAGGGCTGGAGGTGCCCAGAGTCAATGATGAAAGTCCTCACAGAAGAATGCGTTTCACAATTTGCTGCGGTGGCAGCAGTGCCCACCTTGAATTGACAGCCTGCTCTGTGTCAGTCAGACCCCTTCCCAGCAAACCTTGGAGATAAGACCAGTGGGCCCCACTTTACAGCTGAAGGACTGGAGGCTCAGGGACAGCCTGCTGCTGGAGCTGGTATTTGAGCCCCACATTATCTGAGCTAAAACACACAGGCTTTCTGTTTCCAGAGGCAGACCCCCACATCAGCAACAGAGAGTGACTTTAACATTGTTTCTGTTTTAAAAACATCCAAAAACTCCTCAAACAACCAAACAAAAAGATAAACAAGAACCCGTTAAACCCTTTCTGAGATGCCCTAATGTCCCAGGCCCCAGGAGCTGTGTTTAGGTCCCTACATGGGTCCTTTGCTTGCCTGGGTTGCCAGCGTGAAGGTGACAAGGGAGCTGGGCAGACAGGCCAGCTTTAGGGAAATGTACAAGTCTTGCATCTTACCTCCAGAACTCCTTACAGGAAACTGCTGTGGCTTCAGGAGCCAAGATTAACAAGCGCACCTAGAACTGTTGCGGGGGGGGG